CTCGCCGCGAACTCTGCCCCCGCGCAGCAGCTCGAGATGCCGAGTGACCCGCTCGCCGGGACGGTCATCGAAACCGATGGTCCCTCGCCGAGTGCGACGACGCCCTCGATGAGCAGCGCCAACGTCGTCCCTTCGGGCGGTGACATCTCCATGAGCGGCGGCTCTCCGAGCTCCATGTACTCATCGGGTGCGTACTACAACCCGACGCTCGGCGCTCACCTCCGCGCCACCTACACGACGCAGAGCTACGGCCAAGAAGATGGTCAGTTGTCGCTCGGCACAATGAAGCTGTTCGGTGCGGACGGCGGCATGTCGTTCATCGACGGCCAAGTCACGATGAACGACGCCTCGAACGTCGGCTACAACCTCGGCATCGGCTACCGCTGGATGACGCTGCCGCTCTTTCCGTTCAGCCCCGATAGCCAGAAGATCGGCGGCGTCAGCCTCTGGTCGGACGGCCTGAGCAAGGGTGACGGCACCTTCTTCCCGCAGGTCGGCGTGTCGCTCGAACTGTTGGGCGACCACCTCGACTTCCGCGCCAACGGCTACATGCCGGTCGGCGAACGCACGCAGACGCGTGACTTCTTCCAGACGGGGCAGCTGACGTACTCCGGCAACTCGCTCGCCACGCAGCTGCAGGGCGTCGCGGATACGGCGCTGAACATCGGCGAAGTAGAACTCGCCGGACGGATCGCCAACTACGACGCCTGGGTCTTCGGCGGCGGCTACGGCTTTAGCGGCGGCGAGTTCGAGGGCGGCGGCGGCAAGGTGGGTCTGCGTGGCTACGCGACGCCCGACCTGATGGTCTCGGTCGCGATCGCCAATGACAGCGAGTTCGACACCAACACCCTCGTCAACCTTACGTGGTTCATCGGACGCACCCGAGCGGAGAACTGCCCGCGGGGCGAGCTCAGCGACCGCTTCCGAGAGCCGGTCCTCCGCAACAACTACGTCGCGTTGCAGCAGTCGACGGTCTTCGAGGCTGGCGGGCCGTTGCTTGATGAAGACGGCCAAGCCTTCCGCATCGTCCACGTCGATAGTTCCGCCGCGCCGGGCGGCGACGGCTCGTTCGAGAACCCCCTCGACTCGATCGGCGACATCCTCACCAACAGCCAGACGGGCGACATCGTCCTCGCTCACGGCGGCAGCGTCTTTAGTGGACAGTCGGCGGTGCTCCAGAACGAGCAACTCTTCGTCGGCGAAGGCGGCAACAACCCCTTCACGGTCACGCAGTTCGGCGGTCGGATGTTCACGCTGCCCGAGACCGCGCCCGGCGCCCTGGCGGGCCCCGTGCCGCAGATCAACAACCCCACCACCGCCGGCGTCGTCCTCGCTGACGACAACACGATCCGCAACTTCTCGTT